AAAAAAAAAAAAAAAAAAAAACATCAGACTGCTAATGGGCCCACAAGACCATACTTAGCCTGGTCCTTTGTCATGTCTTGACTCAGCCCTTGCCTGTTTCTCTGGAAACTCACTAGCCTCTGCAATGGCACTTGTTTATTGTCCATTTCCACACTAGAATGTAACTTCCCAGAGAAGCTGAGACTGCGCCTGCCTTTTTCACCCATGTATCCCCTGCATCAAGCATATTAGGTGCTTCATAAATATTTCTCAAGTGAATGTACAGGGCAGGAAGAAGGAAATTAATGAAAATGCTAACAGTCTGTTGCTGGGTTGATAATTCTAAAAGAGTGAGGTGAGGATAGGCACAAGACCACCAAAAATCCCTGAAGATCCTGGACGCCACTCTGCACCCTATGAGAGCCTGTGGTTCCCCAGGCCCATCCTCCCACAAGTCATTTCTGCCCAGGCTGAAAGTCTCATCAAGTCCTAACACGTCGCCATGCAATTAGGATTCTAGGTCAGTGTCTTCAGTGCTGAGTGATGCTGCATGTGGGAGCTTACCAAATGATATGGTTTGGCTCTGTGTCCCCACCTGAATCTCATGCTGATTTGTAATTCCCAGTGTTGAGTGAGGGGCCTGGTGGGAGGTGACTGGATCACAGGGACAGCTTTCCCCCATGCCATTTTCGTGCTAGTGAGTCAGTTCTCACAATATCTGATGGTTTAAAAGTGCGTGGCACTTCCCCCCATTCCCCCCTCTGCCATATTAAGATATACTTGTTTTCCCCTTGCCTTCTGCCATGATTTTAAGTTTTCTGAGGCCTCCCAGCCATGCTTCCTGTACAGCCCATGTAACTTTGCATCAGTTAAAACTCTGTTCTGGCCAGGTGGCTCATGCCTGTAATCTCAACACTTTGGGAGGCCGAGGTGGGCAGATCACAAGGTCAGGAGTTCGAGACCAACCTGGCCAACATGGTGAAACCCCATTTCTACTGAAAAAATACAAAAATTAGCCAGGCATGGTGGCATGCCCCTGTAATCCCAGCTACTTGGGAGGCTGAGACAGGAGAATTGCTTGAACCCAGGAGGCAGAGGTTGCAGTGAGCTGAGATCACACCACTGCACTTCAGCCTGGGTGATGAAGCAAGACTTTGTCTCAAAAAAATATATATATTTTCTTCATATATTACCCAGTCTCAGGTAGTTCTCAGGAGTGTGAGAACGGACAAATACACCAAATAATTCACCTCTATTCATCTTGCACTGGATCCAGTCACACTTCTCTGAATTTGCAACCACTCAAAGTTCATGGCAGGCTGTGGCAAGTTGCAGATTGTTGAAGGGATGTATTTTGTGGAGGGAGAAGAAGTTGTTAGAGAGCCAGGCCCACGGGGTAGCATATGTTTGTTTCTCAAACTCACAGAACTGGAAGGAATCTTGGAATGTCATTTAGAATCATCTACCCATGCATTCTGAGAGCCAGTCTCTCCCAGCATTGTCCTAAGGCAGTGGGGAGGAAAAATTACATTACCCTGTAAATCAGTACAAAGCCATTCCCAGATGAGTGCCTGAGGATTTGGGTGGATGCTTGCAGAACTGAGGAATGAGATGAAAGAACTTAAGTAATCACATTTATGCAGATTCTGTGTATCCTAGCATACTTTCATCGCCAAAATGGAACTCTTAGGTAACATAGAATGACTTGGTGTCCCCAGGCTGGCTCCAGTGTCTCGTCTCTAAACATGCATAAACTTCCTTGGACAGCTGAAGATGATTAATGGATCCTAATCAGATATACTGACCATGTGGAATTTAGGAGCCAAAAGAAACTCTGCAAGCATTCTAAACTGTACGGTTAGAGACTGAAGAAAATCACCACGTGTGCTTATGACAAATAACATCCAGAGCACCCACTCTCTTTCAGACAACACAGGCTCATTTTCATGTATCAAAATAGTATTTCCAACGTGTCTTACATATATTTTGGGGTGTTTGTGATCGAATTATCCAATTCACCTCAAAAAGTCTCAGGAATTTAGGGCAACTCCTTTACTTTCTGATGAGAAAAATGGTGCAAGGAGGTAAAGTGATGCTGTGAGGCCAGTTCTTCCACCTGTGGCTTCAGACATGGATGTCCTGGAACCTACTGGTAACGTATTTTTCCATTTCACAGAAGGAAAAGCCAAAACCCAGATCAAGCATTTGTCCAGGATTACCAGGAGTCTGTTCTGGGCTTTGAACTACAGAGAGAACATCAAATCATCGCATTTCTATTCCAAAGAATACAACGCTTTGTGTTAGGCACACTGCTTGGTTTTAAAAATGACTTAAAGCTGTTAGTAAAGTCATTTAAATGATCCCAGAAGAGAGCAAGCTCCGAGTAATACAAGCTGAACCTGAGCAATCAGGTGGGATCTAAGAAGTCAAGGGTGTGAGCCCAGGAAGCTGTTGCACAAGCATGTGACATGCCCTGCCTTGCCCTGCTGTCTGGGGATGCTGCCGATCCCTCAATAAAATGCTGCTTCCTTTCCAAACAGAAAATAAGGGCCTCAAAGACTGCTCCTGTGCCTTTTTGCTGGTGATGCCCTCCTATCCTGCCACCCGCAGATTTTATCCAGGTCTCTTAAGCAGCCTGGATTAAAGTTTTCCATTTTTCTCTGTAGATTTCCTGTTTTCATGCTCAGCTAATTCTTACCTCTCATTGTCTGTTTAACATCAAGTTAGCTGTTGCCATTGTCCTGGACTTCGATGTTTCTGTGATTGCTGAGCGCCATAGGGAAATGTCTAACCATCCTAGGGGTATGTCTCAGAGGAGAAGCTATTGGTTTGCAATAAAAATCTTGAGATGTATTTACGTAGAAGACCCAGTGGACAGAAGAGTCTCTCTCCTTCTCTGCTGGTTGAACTTAACATGTTTATACACTGTTTAGTACCTGAAGAAACATCTGATACTTTGCCTTTATTTTTCTAGATCTCTTTATGTAGGAAAATATTTTAATAGCATTTGTTGTTCCATAATGTTTTTTTCTCTTTTTAAGGTTTCCTGAGGCAAATGTGACACATGGTC